GCTGAGTCATTTTTGTGTTCCCCTCTCTGTCATGTGGATGGAGGACCTCAGTGATGAGAGGAGAACGTGTAGCGCCTGTATAATGGTAGGGGATACACTGATATATGACCCATCATATCGAAATGAGGATTAAAGCTACATTTTGATACCTGGATCATTCTGTTATCATACGTGGATCCAGAGAAATGACTAAATTTATCTTGTTGGTTATGATAACACAATAATATTTGGTCTGAATTCTAATTTTATGTAATTTTAAGCAGGAATTTTTAATGTCAATAAATAGAAAAAACTTCAGATAGTATCTGAATATTGAGATTTTCCAGCTGGAAAGAAACAAAAAGTTTGCTAACTCACAGGGAAAATCTCAAGAATTTAAGGTGTTTTTCCTCAAAACCAGGTTTTTTTGTTTGTACTGCCCAAAAACATGCTTCAAAATTTAGTTTTATGATTATATTTCAAACAGTTCATTCAAATGATACATTGATAAGGCTTTTATTCATTATGTTWTGACAAYATGCAAATTTTGAAGATGATTTAATCAAAGCACTATATTTGCCTATTTCTCCACATTCCACTTTTAGACTTAATCCTCGTTTCGATGTGACGGGTCACTTGTTAGTCAGAGTTAAACTGTCAAGTTGAAGGCTGCAGATGTTTGATATATAGCTGCTTTGTTTCTGTCTTTATATATTTTGGTGTTTACAGGTTTTTTTTTTCTCATCCATGTGGTTTCCTGTCACTGTTCTCACTGACAGCAGCTGATGTTCAACTCTTTCAGCTAAACTGCAGGAACAAACTGGCTCCACGGGAGACAAAAGTCAGTCCAGTAAAAACCCAGYTAAGAAGTCAGAACCTCCCAGCCCGTGTCAGTGTGTGTGTCACAGCAAGGCAGCGACGGGCCAACCAGATGTTGTGGATCTGACTGCATCGCCCTGCAAGGACCCTGTGCAGACCCCACCCACAGCACCAGACCATGGTAGGTGGTCCTTTTACTTGTGTGTAGGGATGGGTACCGAATTCGATACTTTTAAAGTACAGACTGAATTCTGTCAGTACTACCGAGTATCTATTCATGTAACATCAAACTGTACCGTGTTTCAGTACCTAAACACACGCATTGGCGTAAGAGTGGTGAGTTTTCCATGCTTGTCCTGAACGCAGCATCATGTAAGAGCGTAATGACGTCAGCAGCCGCTGCTTCAGTAAACAGAGTTCAGTCTGAACGTAGCTGAAAGCCTCACAGCTCCTAAACTCGCCGAACAGACCGCCTCTGAATTATCTGGTGGATTAATTATCTTGTGAACATGACGTTCACTTGCTCAAAATAAATAAAGTACCACCACTTTCTTTATTTCATCCACCATTAAACAGAGATTGGTGTTAGGTGGAGCCATGTTCCCCCATCAGACGGTTCCCCCATCAGACGGTTCCCCCATCAGAC